ATGGAGAATTCCAGCTTGGACTTCTTGCCGTAATCAACAGAGAGTCGCTCCATCAACAGGGAGGTGAATCCAGAGCCAGTGCCACCTCCAAAACTGTGAAACACCAGGAATCCCTGGAGGCCTGTGCACTGGTCAGCCTGTGGAGAGAGATGAGGAGGGATTGTTCTTAGATACATGTCTTTGTGACTGTCTGGCTGTCCACAAGTCCCTTCAGGCCCTGCTGTATTCCTGCCCTAGTCAGCTGCATATCCCACCCAGGGCGCAGCACAGCTTGCAGTGTGTTCTGAGCCCCAGCAGGAGGCTGGACCCCAGTCCAGGGAGACACATCCCCTCTCCGCAGTCACTTACCAGCTTACGGATCCTGTCCAGCACTTGATCAATAATCTCTTTGCCGATGGTGTAGTGCCCACGGGCGTAGTTGTTGGCAGCATCTTCCTTGCCAGTAATCAGCTGCTCGGGGTGGAAGAGCTGCCGGTAGACACCTCCCCGAACCTCATCTAGGAGAGAACAGGGGCAGGTTGAGCCCAGGGGAGGCTGTTGGTTTGAGCCGGCCGCCAAGCAGACACGTGGGTGCTAGCAGCCATCCCTCACCTTGGCTCCGCCTGCCCGTCGCATGGCCAAGGACCCACACGTCAGCAAAGCCAACACCAGCATCAGGTTTCTCTGGCATGAGGAGGTGGCTGCCACCTCCCTGCGCAGCTCAGCTTCTCCCACCCTTCAGGAGCTGCCTGCCCACAGCTCAGCAGGAGCTGCCGTGCCGGTTGGGCTGGTTTCTCTGTGCACATGTGGTACAAGCACTTCTGACTCTAGGACACTTCAAGAACAAAAGCAGGTGCTCACGTTTGTGGCTTCTCCTGGGGTAAAAAAAGGGCCCTCGGGGTCGAACCCAGTGCAGGATATTGTCAGAAGACCACGAGCACCAGCTGCCTGCTACCCACCCCTGGGGCACCTCAGGCCGTAAGAATTCCAGGGAGCAACGGGTTGTTCCCTAAAATAATGGCCATTATCACTGCCCAATTAGCGTGCACTCACCAATCACTGTGGGCTCCAGGTCCACGAAGATGGCCCGTGGGACATGCTTCCCAGCCCCAGTCTCACAGAAGAAGGTGGTGAAGGAGTCATCCCCTCCGCCGATGGTTTTGTCGCTGGGCATCTGCCCGTCGGGCTGGATGCCGTGCTCCAGGCAGTACAGCTCCCAGCAGGTGTTGCCCATCTGGACGCCGGCCTGGCCGACGTGGACGGAGATGCACTCGCGCTGGGGAGGGGGAGGCAGGGTCAGATCCTGGCACAGTTCTGTCCTGCCTGCTCTCCAGGGAGGGGTCTAGCTGGTGCCAGTGCCACACAGTCACCCACACTGGACCTGCTCTGGTCAGTGGTCCCAGAGCACATTTTCCTTTGGGTGACCTCCTGCATCACCCTGAGGGACTCCCCATAGCTGGGATCCATGCACAGGCACCATTCTGGATCAAGAACCAGCCTTGGCATCCCTCTTGCCCTGCGCTCACTGGGGACCACCTGCTCAATGGACTTTGGCTGGGCCTGTCCTCCAGCAGTAAGAGGAGCAGAGCCTGGACCACCTACTCTGCCAGGGTCCCTGGCAGCCTCAGCCCCTTTCCCATGCAAGAGCAGTCCAGTGAGGAGCTGAGCTGACATGTACACACATTTAACCCATGAGGGGCAATCAGCATGGGCAAACCCCTCTGCCCATGAGGGGTCAGAGACAGATAAGCAGTATTGTGGAGTCAGTGGCCTTGAGGACACAAGGGGGGTAGGTGGCAGCCAGGTACGGGCTGGCAATGAAGACCAACAGTTTCTGAGGCAACACAGATTCCCTGAGCTACACAGTCCCAGCCCTGTGCTGCAAAGCCCGTGTTGGCAGAAGTGCTCAGGAGAAGGCTGTGAGCTGGAGATGTGTCTCATGCACTCCATTCAGGAGGTGCAGGCCTGTTCCACTACTCCAGCATCCCTTCTCTGCTGTCCCTGGCATCCCGCCTCTGCTAGTCCTAGCATCCCTGTTTCACTGCTCCCGGCATCCCTGCCTCCCTGAGCAGGACACCCCGACTCAGCCTCGAGGTCCTGCAGCAATTCACTCCTGCATTCCCCGACCGCACAGTGTCCTTAGCCGCGATGGTGTCCGTGCCCCGGTCCAGCGCCCGGGTAGGACAAGGTCTCCTTCTATCTGCGGGAGGGCCGAGAGCAGCCCCAGGCACAGAGAGGAAGGGAGGGCAGCTGGGGGCCCGGTCAGCGCTGCGGCGGGCAGAGCGCTGCGCTGCGCCTTCTGGCACGGCCCCGGCCCACTCCTGAGCCGCTAAATATAGACAGCTCCGGCCCCGGGCGGGAACACGGCCACTGCCCGCTGCGGAGAGCGTCCCCAGCCCGCTCCGCCGCTGCCAGACGCCCGCGGGACGACACCGAAGGGACGGGACCCCCACACCCGTTCCCGGTCGCCAACCCCGCCGGGGCGCCCGCTGCCGCGGGGAGAGCCCCGCCGAACGCCCAGCTCCGGCCCCCGGTGCCCGGCGGGCGCCTCCACCCTGCGCAGCTGTCCCCGTCCATCCGCGGCCACCGCTCCGCACCGGAGAGGTCACCCCGCGATCCCAGCGCCTCCCCGGTGCCGGCGGCGGCGGGCAGGGGGGCAGGCGCCCCAGCGCCGGTGGCGGCGGGGCCTAGGGGCACAGGGCGGTGGGGGCACGGCCGCCCCCGGGCAGGGGCCGCGAGGGCTGCCCAAGGTCACGGTGGGGAAGGAGAGGGCGCGCCGCGACAGCTCCGCCGGGCACGGTGCTGCGGGGCGACTGCCGGGGGGCTGCCGGGCGCCCTCCCCGCCGCCGTGCCCTCCTCCCGGCCCGCACTCACCATGTTGCGGCGGGTGGTGCGGGCTGTCCCGGCGGCTCGGTGCGGCGGGGCTCGGCGCGGAGGGGCTCGGCGCGGAGCTGCGGCTGCTGCAATCCCCGCCGCAGCGCTCTCTTATAGGGGGGAGGGGCTTGGTGCCGCCCCGCCCCCTTATTTGGGTACCTTTGCATGCGGGGAGGGGGTACCCCCTTCGGGGGCCGCGGGAGCCTGGCCGGGTCCTCTCGTCTGCGGAGGAGCCCCGAGGTGGGGGGCACGAAGCTGCTCCCCCTTCTCTGCCGGGAGGAAGGTGGGGGCATCGGTCCAGGCTGTGGGCAGGAGGCCTGGGGACCAGCCTCAGGGGTGACAGGCAGTGCTGAGCCACCAGCACCGGAGACAGAGCAGGTAGAACAGTCCCTAACCTGTTCTGCTACCAGCTCCCCCACGGGTGTGGGGAGACCCCGAGTCAACCTGTGCCTCTAGAACAGGAGATAGGAGGAGAAACACGATAGAGACACATATCAGATTCTGGAGCCCACTTTGTCCCCCAAACCTCCCTTTGCCATTGATGCTCTGGGAGGCTCCAGCCAAGGTTTGCCCTTCTCTCCCGGTGGGGACAAACAGGCAGTACTGCACAACCCTGTGAGCCTGCAGATCTGCATGACAAATCTGGGCTGCCAAAAAAGGGTCATTGAAGCCTGCTTGCTGTTAATAACTTGTGACTACATTCAGAGCAGCAGCTCTGTTTGAGCCCTGGCCAGTGCAGCCACCCCTGCCAAGGCTAGGGCTGATCCTGCTACTGAGGATGCCTGGACCTTCAGCCTTGAATGCTGCCTTAGCAGGGAGAGGGCTCTGTCTTTAATGTCAGTACCTAGGGTCACACAGCTACCCCTCCCTGGCCATGGGGATGGATGGGCCTCTGCTGCTCAGCAACATGCCAGGAGACACTACTGGGTCCCTTGTCCAGGACAGAAGCGCAGGATAACTTTTAGAAAAAGCTATAGGGCACAATTCCAACTCCTACATCCTTCTGGTGGCAGTCATGCCCGTGAAGACCCAGGGAGATGTCAGCAATGGAATTGCTCTGAAGGAGCAGATTCCCTGCTTTCCCCATAATCAGACAAGACATAAGAAGTGGATCAGAGCAGCACTTGATATGAGGGGCAGTGACTCCTGCCCTGGCATAGCAGCAGCAAGCACCAATCAGTCTGAGCCTGGCACTCCAGTCACAGGCAAGCAGAGCAGTGCCAGCAGCCCTGTGCAGAGGGATGAGTGCCTGGCTGCGCTCCAGCAGCCAGGGCTGGCCCCCACTCTGCCCTCCAGCTGACATGGGTGCATGCTGGGAGGAGGGCAGGGGAGGACAGCCCCTGTGGGTCAATATAGCTGGAGCATTAGTGGTAAGCGGGGAAAATTAATCTCTGGAAACAGCACACTGGATAATGGGTAACAGAAATCTCCAGTTTGCAGCTGGAGCCAGGAGTTGATGCTGGGACTCCTTACCACCAGGCAGGGCAGTGAGAGGACACAGAATGGGAACAATGAAGGAAATGATCTGGGCCAGGTAGAGCAGGGCCACATGCCCCAGGGGGAAGGCAGAACCCCAGCAGAGCAGGGCAGGCTGAGGGCAGCATACTCCCAGACAAAGGACCTCATGCCTAAGCTTGGTACTTCTGCTGTCACATCAGCAGCACTCCTGCAGATCCCATTGGTGAATATGCTCCAGCACCCTCCTAGAGCCTGCCATATGTCCTGGACCTATCCCACGGATATGGGGCTCTTACCTAAGTGGGGAGGTGGAGCTGGAGCAGAGCTCTGGGAGGAAGCATAGCAGCACCAGTAGCAGGGCTGAAGCACTCACCACACACCTGACCTGGCAAGAAACC